TGTCTAAAATATATATATTGTTTACCATTTTCATAAAAAAAATCATATACGACACATATATTTTATCACCACAAAAGTTCAATTATCTGTCTCCCAAACTTTCATTATTAAGCTACCTTTATCTTCTGACCACCTTGGACGTGATACATCGAAAACGAAGTCTTTAACGAACTTTTTTATTTGATCCATCATCGACAGAGACCTGGGATGGTGTCTTCGCTCTTTCTTTCACGACACGAACCCGAATTAACGAGGAACGTCCCAATGAACGCGAATTATCGATATTCCCCTGTAAACGATGGCGGTTATCGCTTAATAATGCAATTCCAGACACGTTAACCGCATAAAGTTATTAACGACTCGGCTGACTCTGTGCTCGCAGCTTGGGTACAAGTTACGCAGAGCGGAATACTCGTTCACGCGTGGGATTATGGTCAGCTCGCTACGGAAATTACAAATATGCGCCCTTCGATGCGATATATCTTGCTCGTCACACGCCAATTTAACCACCGTGTGATCAGTGAACGAAGAGGTGTATTAACATAAATGGTGATGACATCTTAAGCGAGTTGTTTCAATAAAAAACGATATCCTTTTAACGTAATTTCTTAAGTAGAATGGGTTAAGTAGAATGACGAGAGAAAAAGAGTTCGTGATTTTTCTTTAGGATTTGGAAATGGAAATTCTTTATAATTTTTAGTACTTTTTGAAAAAAGATTATGTATCTTTTATTTTTCATTGTTCTTTGAATCTTATTATTATGATCAGTGATATAATGATAATTATTACATGTGTTACAGGGGATGAATAATATAATATAATAAAAGCAATTGAAAATTCTTAATGTATTACTATGAAATATATTTAATGAATTATAACATTCAAGAGATTCTTATTGACACGTATGAATAGGTTTCTAGAAAATAATAATTGAAAGAATTTTTTTAAATAGGTTATACAAATAAAAATAAAGAAAAGAAGCGTTTGATGATATTAGAAACATAGCAATTATAAAGTTAAAATCTTATTATAATAATAATCAGGAAATTGTTTAAATTAATGAAAAAAAATGTAAAGATTATTTCTACAATTATATAATTATCCTGCTTTGCATTTTTCATGATCATCAAATTTATGAAACAAAAAATATTAATATGTTATTATTGTACAGTCAGAAAATAATTATTTGAACGATGCAATAGTAAATTATAGAGCCAATTAGAACAAGTATTGACAGAATTCTTCACTAATATATATCAAACTACATCTAAAACGTTCTTTAATCCATCAGTGACGGCGATTGAAAGGGGTTCCATTCGTGTCACGTTCCTTTGTCGGTTGTTCCTTCGATCAGCTCGTTTATCATTCATTGAAGGCACGAGTCGTGGAAAAATAAAATTCGATGACGGTAAATTTGCTTTCGATAAAACGGGAAATGGAATAGAAGAAAATAAATTCTGTGCGAACCAATTAAAGAGAGATAATTGAAATACGAGAATACCAGTATGGTTTTTTATTATTTAGAGACTAAAATTAGTTGAAAAAAAGAAGAAGAAAATAATTTTAGAATAATTAAACGCGATATGTGTTGGATAATTTAAAATGTTTGCTTTTTTAATAAAATCAAGAACTCGCAAATTTTGAAATCAGATATTGTATTATGTACCAGATAATATTATTTCAAAGCACGGGATAATATAATATCTGTTTATATATTTATATTGAATTCAGTTATAAAACATTTCAATTGGAATCATATTAAAATACCAAAATTGAAAAAAACTTTAATATATTTTACTAACTAATAATATTAATGAATTAATATTAAAATAAATCTTTTCTCTTTTAAAATTTAAAAATTTAATATGAAATATTATACATGAATAATTAGATCATTCACTTTAAAAAAAATTATTTATAAAATTTCATTTCTGTTATGATTAAAATTATTATTATATTAAAGAAAATTTATTAATATCTTGTCACTTGTACATTTTAAAAATATTATAAAAAATTCTTCAATATATTAATATGATACCATTATAGTTATCATTCTAACAATATAATAATAATATTATAATAATTACAAAATTACTTTACAATTAATATAATCAGAAAACAAATGATTTTTCTTCTTGATAGAAGGATAGGATAAATTGAAACTGCATAATAATATAATTCTTTTATACAAAATATACTTTCCAAATACAAAAAAATCTTCAAAAAATATATGTAGTTATAAATTAATCATATCTCTTTCAAATTTAATTTAATCAATTCTATGAATTCCTCTAATATGAAATCCATTCCAGAATCATTCTATCGCTATAAACATTCTCATCAAATTCTTATTTCCACGATAAAAGATGAAATCAAAGCTAAGATACACTTCACACACGTCCCTGATTGAGGTTTCGTATCTCTGTCTTCTCCGGTTTCGGTAAATTTACTTGGTCAGGCTCTCGTGTGAACTTTGAAGCCTGACCGATTTTACGACCCCGTTACACACAATACTTTACGAAAGTCTCAGACCCAACGTTTGTTACTGGCACACAGTAGAATTTCTAGGATATACTTTGAGAAACTGTTTTTATTCTGAAAAAAATTGAATGTAATTCACCAATTCAAGAATGATAAATTTACGAATTGAATTTTGAAAATAAGAAAAAGAATATTGCGTGCAGCTTCCCTTTGCACACATTGTAATATTACAAAGTCGGAAGCAAATATTAAACTCGTAAAAATACGAATTTTATTGTATAAGGTACAGAAAAATCGTGTTTATTTTAGTTGAGTTTACTTTCTGTTGTTTTTTCTTTTTTTTTTAATACATTAGACAGATATATCATACACGATAAATTTAATATTCACGAATATAGATTGCTTGAAATACTTAAATGCTCTCATTTTAAAATTTCTTTCTTGATATAAGTTTTGATATGAACGTAGTACTATATTCTAATTTTTGTTGGAATTTAATATTATACAAATAATAATACAAATAATAAAATATCGCATAATCATAATTACATCACATTAATAATATTCAATTGCTAATTCTTAAGTTTTGATTAAGACAGTTTTGAATCAACAAAATAATTTTCGTTTGATCTTTATGCATATTTTATTCACACGAAACTCAGAAACGCGTGTAACTGGAAAATTAAAGGTTTCGTCAAAATAATTCGTTTCAAGCAATCTCAAATTTAGATATCGCGTAAACAGTAAAATTCGATTACCCTGTTGAAATTATACGACTTTGATATAAAGCCGTCTAATGACTATTTTAAACATTTAGATTACCGATACGCGTAAATTAACATAACTCGCGGTGAGACGTTCCATCGCGAAACTTCTAAACAAATATTTGCAAATTTTGATCTAAATAACGTGTGGAGTTTCTGATGATTTAGTGCATCAATTTAGATAATTGGATATATAAAGTTTGGATGAAAATATTGTTGGCTAAAATATATCTCGGCACGTGTGCCTCTTAATTTTTCGAACGTGTTTCAAATTTTCAATCAAATTATATCGTAATTTATTTTATTTATCACATAGTTGTACATAATTCTATTCACGAAATATTATCAGTTAATTCTTCGATTCGACATATTGATCTATCTTGAAGATATATATATATATAAATTGTTAATGTGTAATAAGAATTATTAATTTAAAAAATATTCATCAATGCAACTTTTTTAAATTGACTAAAACAAACTATCGCAAAGATTAATTAAATTCTTTTCAAAATCTCGATTCTGCACAAATATCGACGATTTCATTTAAGATAGAAAACTCATAAAATCCACTTCCAACGATTTCAATCCCAAAACAATAAGAAGGGAAAAGGGAAGGGAAAAGAAGGGAAGAAGCAAAACCATGTACTTTTCTAAATCGATCCAAAGCGATCGGCTCAACCCAAAACTCGCTATCGTCGAAAATCAAGGATTCGATTCGAAAAACAAGTGGAATTCACTTGCATTTGGCAAGCTCGACGAGTGTTCGTCGAACCGTCGCACCAATACGAATCTCGAGCAGTGTTCGTACGGTGAAATATTTTTGAAAAATCGGAACGTTTCTATCCTGGAAGCTCGCACTATCCTGGAACCCATAGCCTAACGACAATATCATCCAGGAATTTCTAACAGACGTGATCTTATCGCGAAACGTGTTCATTGCTTGACCTGGTTTGGCCAAATCCCTTGGCCAAAATTTAACAGATACCTTACATTGATTTTCAAATTAGAATTCTCATCCTAGGACTAAGATAGAGTTCCTCAAATTGAAAGATTTTATGTTTTAATTAAATTTTTTTCGATTTTTGTAAAAGAATCTTTATTATTAAATGAAAATTAAATGTAAAAGAATCTTTATTATATTTATTATTATTTATTGTGATATGTGACTTTTTAAGATTTGATTGATGATTTCTGAAGTGATCTCGATATTCTTTTGCTTGAGATCGTAACAGAAAACTCAATGTTGTTAGAAGAATTACAGAAAATATAACATATTCATTTTTACAAAACATCTTTTAAAGAAATATCCTCAAAGATCAGGAATCCTTTAATATTCAATTATAAATGACGTAGTCATCTCAAGTTATTAATCAAGTATTTGAATATTGATCCAATAAAATCTTAGAAATTTGCTGACCAGGAATTCTCAAGATAAATTTCTAAAATTAAATTCTCTTATTCTCCCTTTACATATATAATATATAATACCTTTTGTATATATAATCAAATAATATCAACCAAATTTTGATCTTTTCCATATCCATTTAACTCGTGCAGCATAATTTTCTCACAGAGGAAAACTCCCTTAAAACACGTTTCTCGTAAGAAATATTACCCAGGTACAGATGGTACACCATCCATCAAAGATTCGATCCGAGAGACGATCAACTTTATACAAATAAAGTCTAAAAAAAAAGAAAAAAGATCGATTCATCTTGTTGTTTCTCTTGTTTTTTTTTTCTCCATCTATCGCAGGAGTGACCATTCTACTGTCGCTGACAGTATTCCTGAACCTCGTTGCAGAAAGCATGCCGACCACCTCGGACGCTGTCCCTCTAATAGGTACCTACGATATATATATTATAAATCAAAGAAAATTAAGCTAAGCAGTGTGCTGTGTTCCAGTGTTCTTGTCCTCTTTCTTTTTCTCTCTCTCCATATGTAAATATGTACATCACGCATTTGTGCCTGTCGTCTCTCGAACGTTCCTGTCCAGGAAGCTGTGTAGAGAAAAAGTCGTGTGGAGCGGGGTAAGAAGCTCGAAAGTCGTTCAGATCGAAG